AAATCAGCCGTAGAGCGCAATGGTAAAAGCCGGGTTGACTGCGAGACTGACAAGTCGAGCAGGTGCGAAAGCAGGCCATAGTGATCCGGCGGTCCCGCATGGAAGGGCCGTCGCTCAACGGATAAAAGGTACGCCGGGGATAACAGGCTTATCTGGGCAAGAGTTCATATCGACGCCCGGGTTTGGCACCTCGATGTCGGCTCATCGCATCCTGGGGGTGAAGAAGCTCCCAAGGGTTGGGCTGTTCGCCCATTAAAGCGGTACGCGAGCTGGGTTCAGAACGTCGCGAGACAGTTCGGTCCTTATCCTTGGTGGGCGTAGGAAACTTGAGGGATGCTGCCTTTAGTACGAGAGGACCGAGGCGGATGAACCTCTTGTGATCCAGTTGTCACGCCAGTGGCATAGCTGGGTAGCGAAGTTCAGTCGGGATAAGCGCTGAAAGCATATAAGCACGAAACCCTTCCCAAGATAAAGGTTCCCTGAAGGGCACTTGAAGACTACAAGTTAGATAGGACGGATGTGTAAGTATGGCAACATGCGAGCTAACCGTTACTAATTGCCCGTTCGGCTTGATCGTGAATCTTGCCCAGAGCCAGAATCCCATCCGCGAGGGTGGCTGGCCTGGTGCTCTTCGGAAATGGCGATTGCAAGACTTTCAATATTTACTTACAGGGTTCCCCGCGCGGGGAACCTCAAGGATTGGACTTTTGAAAATTGGTCCAGAACCTTTCGGGTGGCTATAGCGAGGAGGCCACACCCGTTCCCATCCCGAACACGGCAGTTAAGCTCCTCAGCCCCGATGGTACTGCGTTGGAGACGGCGTGGGAGAGTAGGACGTCGCCCGATTCAATTCAATAGCCCTGCGGGCTTGGTGAAACGATTCACCAGGTTCGCAGGGCTTTTTTGTTACAACCTGGAAATCCTGGAAGATCTCTAGAAATCTTCGATCTGTGTGGTGGGAATGGCCATGTCAACAAGCATGACGGGGATATCGTCATCTATTCGGTAAATCGTTTTACGGTCAGTTGTGATCAGCCCCTCAGCGAGGGGTTTTGTCAATGGTCGAACCATCCGCATAGTTGATGCAGCCCACTTCGATCAGGGAATTCAATCGCTTGAGGTCTTCAGTGGTTATCATTCTGACGGGTGTTTTACTACTCGGACAACAAAGGATGTCGAGCAACTCCTGGCTGACTGGCATGGACTGGTTAGCTTTCCGTTCCCATCATAGGACAGTTGGTACAGTTGCATTCAAAGCGGCCAGTAATCCTGTTGGGTTCGGGCAATTATTGCTAGACTGAAGACCTTTAACAAGCTGTACATATTGACAATTTCTGAAGGCTCGGATATATTTTGAAATGGGTTCCGGGTATCTGAAACATCTGTGTTTAGCTTGATAGAGCTGTGCATCTTGAGGGATGGTTCAGAGAGCCGCATTGGTGAGCAGCTATAGCTGCTCCGAATCCAGCCGAGCAGTATCGCAGGGGGTATTTGTGGGCTGGGATGTAAAACTCACTGAAGCAGGGAAAAATTTGTATGCAACGGGAAGTGGATGAGCATTGGGAGCAAGGTGATAGCTTGGACAATGGTGCTTCCCCGGAATCAGGCAGTACAACAGCCCTGCTGAGTGATGAGCAGTTGAGTTCCGAGAACGTGGAACCTGAAGTGTCGGCCGAGGCAGGTGCAGGGGATGCAGAAGCACCGGTAACAGATCCAGTTGTGCCTGTAGAGAAAAGTCTGGAGGCAGCAATTACTGTGGAAGTGCCCGCACTGCAAGGGAGTGTGGAACTGCAGACAGGCCAGGAAAATGCTCTGGAAGAATCAGATGAATCAACAGACCCTGGTACGGCTGATGAGAATGGAGCCAAGGCGCAAGCTGGTACTGAGCAGCCAGAGGAAGATGATTCCCAAGTAGGGCAAGTTTCTGAAAGCTACGCTGAACCGAGAGAGGGTGGAATTGCACAGCCTGTCCAGGTAACCAGTCCACCTTTGCCGGGCATACCCGATCTGGGGGAAGTAATCGAGGATGATCTGGATGATGAGTTCCTTGATATTGAGGAACTTGAACGGCTTGGAAGCCTGGAGCCTGCTGATGAGTCAGGTATCCAGCGGGGAAGTCGGCAAACTGGCCGGATCATCAGTATCGACTCAACAGGAGTGATCGTATCGTTTGATGCCAAGGTGGAAGGGTTTATTCCACTTGAAGAGTTCCGTGAAGTGGACGGGACGCTTGCAGTGGAAGTGGACCAGGAAATCGAGTTCCTGGTTATTCGACCAGGTGGAGCCAGTGGTTATGCGAAGTTATCGTATCGTCGGCTTAAGGATGCAGAAATCTGGAAACGACTGGAGACTGCCCAAACTGAACAGGCCCCCCTGGAGGCCAGGATCCTTGAGAATATCAAGGGTGGATTCCGGGTTGATATCGGAGTGAGCGGGTTCTTGCCTATTTCGCAGTTGGATGTAAAACCAGTAGCAAAGCCAGAAGAATGGCTGGGCACGACAGTTGAAGTCCAGGTCATGGAATGCAATCGTCGTCGAGCCAATGTAGTGGTATCGCGTGCGGCGCTGTTGATTGTCGCGTTAAACAAGCAGAAAGAAGAGACCCTGAGTCGGTTAGCAGTTGGAGAACCGGTAACGGGAACTGTAAAAAACATCTCCGCGTTTGGTGTTTTCGTTGACCTTGGTGGTATTGACGGTCTGATCCGCCTGAACGACCTTTCCTACTTTCGTTATGAAAGGATTGAAGATATCCTGCAGCCAGGGCAGGAAGTTGTCGCCAGGGTACTTGAACTGGACCTGGAAAAAGATCGTATTTCCCTGGGCCTCAAACAAATGGGACAGGATCCCTGGGCAGGGGTCAATGAACGATTTCCGGAGGGCAGTCATGTCCAAGGGGCTGTAACAGATATCAAGGATTACGGGGCTTTCGTTGAAATTGAGCCTGGAGTTGAAGGGTTGATTCACATTTCAGAGATGAGCTGGGCTCACCGCCTGCCGAATCCAGCGAAAGTACTGACTGTGGGTGAGAAGGTTGAAGCAGTTGTGTTGAAGGTCAACCGTGAGGAGCGTCGTATTTCGTTAAGCCTGAAACAACTCAAACTGGAACCTTGGGAAGAGTATGGCAACAGTTTTGCTGTGGGGCAGGTTGTGGAAGGCACTGTGGGCAAGCTGACAAGCTACGGGGCCTTTGTGGAAATCCAGGAAGGGATTCACGGGCTGTTGCATATCTCGGACCTGACCTGGGGACCACCCCCGAAGAATCCCGCGGAAATGTTGCAGAAGGGACTCAAGCTCAAGGCTGTTGTATTGAGTGTTGACAGGGAGAAGAAGAAACTGTCACTCGGCGTCAAGCATCTCGAACCCGACACCTGGATCACGTTTATCCTTGAACACACTACTGGCGATACGGTTACAGGCCAGGTGCTGCGTCTTGTCAAACACGGGGCCTATGTCAAGCTGGCTCCCGGAATACAGGGCCTGTGTTTCAACTCGGGAATTCCGCACAAGAAATCAGGCAAGGGGCAGTCTGGACTGAAAGTGCAAAAAACTTACAACTTTGAGATTTTACGCATCCATGAGAGAGAGCGCGAGATCGATTTGCGCTGTCGTAACACAACACCATTGAGCATGGAACAGCTTGGGGAAGAACGCAGGTAGATCGCAGCAGAGCTGCAAGCGCAAGCAGTTGGCACTCTCCCCCTGCCCCTCCGGGGCATGCAGTTTGCTCATTTATGTATAAAAGCAGCCACAAAAAATTGCGAGAAATCAAACTTGGCTGCTTACTGGTTGAGTCTGTTACAATGCAAAGTCTGTTGAGTAGGGAAGGAGCCAAAATTCATGACAAAAGCAGACTTGGTTACACAAATCGTAAAGGACATTGAGGTGACTCGAAAAGAGGCTGACGTAATCGTCACGACCTTTTTGGAAGGCATTGTCGAGGCAGTGCGCAGTGGCGAAAAAGTTGAAATTCGAGGCTTTGGCAGTTTTCGGACAAGGAGCCGTAACAGTCGTGTTGGCAGGAACCCCAAAACAGGGGAACAGGTTGTAGTGCCTGCAAGCACGATTCCATTTTTCAAAGCCAGCAAGCAGTTGCGTGAAGCCGTCAACGACGGTACACCAACCGATTAGCTGAAATGCAGCCGGGTTAGGCCGGGTAGCATGGATTATCTCTGGTCTCCATGGCGATACCGCTATGTGACCAGGGGAGAAGGTGTTGAAGATACTTCCGCCAAAAGCAGTTGTGTCTTCTGCCACATTGTTGACTGTGGAGCCAGCGACAAGGAATCATTGATCGTTCATCGCGGGCGTCACAATTTTGTGATGCTGAACTGTTACCCGTATGTCAGCGGTCATCTGATGGTGATCCCATATGCCCATCTTGCAACCCTCTCGGAGGTGCCTGTCGAGACGGCGCAGGAATTGATGCTCCTGAGTTGTAATTTCGAGGGCGTGTTGAGGGATCTGTACAAGCCAGATGGATTGAATCTCGGTATGAACATTGGTCGGGCAGCTGGGGCAGGAGTGGACAAACACATCCACATGCATCTGCTTCCACGCTGGTCGGGGGACGTAAACTTTACCACTACGATTGGGGAAACGCGGGTTTTGCCGGAGGATCTGGAGGTCACTTGGGAGCGGGTTCACGAGAAGCTGAACAACGCTGCAGGCTGATTGACGGGGTTTCAGGCTTCAATCGGCACAAATCACAAATATAATGCGGGATATGGAAGTGCTCAGTATCCAGCTGTTACGAATTGGCCTGATTTTATATTCGATCGGGCTGGTCGATTCGTTTTATTGCGTCATCACACTACGCAGCAAGCTCTTTAAGCAGGCCCTGTGGGCATTTGTGATTGGAGCCATCCTGCATCTGGGATCGTTGGTTCTTCTAGTCGTAATGTATGAGCGTCTGCCGGTCTACACATTGCAACAGATGTCCTCGCTGACAGCTTTTTTTATTACAATCCTGTTCCTGGCGGCTTACAGGCGTTTTCAGCATGAGAGCCTGGCGGTTTTTGTGTTTCCGCTCGTTTTCCTGCTGACGTTGGTGGGAATATTGGGTGGCCCGGAAGCCACTGCTCAGCGGCCGTTGCAGGAATGGTGGATTGCAGTGCATGCTACCCCGTTCTTGCTCGGCTATGCGGGTCTGTTCCTGACATTCGTAGCGGGTGTGATGTACCTGATCCAGGAAAACCAGTTGAAATCCAAACGTCTGAGTGGGTTGTACTACCGCTTGCCTCCACTTGGGAAGCTGGATGAGATCGGCTATCAGGCCCTGGCAGCCAGTTTTGTGCTGGTGACACTGGGAGTGATCGCAGCATCCTTCTGGGCTTTTGCGAAATGGGGAGCAAACTGGGCGGTGGACCCTACGATCGCGCTGGCATTCCTGACCTGGGCGATCTGCCTGATTATGCTCTTCAGTCGACTGGCCATTGGGTGGCGGGGTCGCAAGGGAGCTTATTTTTCAATTGCTGGGTTTTGTTGTGCAACGTTGACATGGATATTGCATAGCGGAACACACAGCTTCATGGAATGACACACCGATGAGTATCGGGTTGCTTGGTTTGAATCACACGACTGCACCGGTTGAGGTGCGGGAGCGCTTTGCCGTCACTGGTGAGGAAGCAGAAGTTCTTGCCAGGAAACTGATGCAGAGAGATTCGCTGCATGAAGCTCTGGTGCTATCGACTTGCAACCGCGTGGAATTCCTGGTAAGTGGAGAGCAACTGCAGCCAGTTCGGGCCTGTTTGGACTTGTGCAGGAGTTCCTCGAGGACCTGCAGCCCCAGGACGAGCATTTTTTCTACAACTATTCGGATCGCAAGGCGGTGAGACACCTGTTCCGGGTCGCTTCAAGCCTTGACTCGATGGTGGTTGGCGAACCCGAGATCCTGGGCCAGGTGAAAGATGCATACCAACATGCCAAGGATGCAGGAACGATTCGCGGACCGCTTGAGCTGCTGCTGACCCATACATTCCGTGTAGCCCGTCGAGTCCGCAATGAAACAGCAGTCGGGAAGATGGCGGTCTCGGTCAGTTATGTGGCAGTCGAACTGGCCAGAAAAATTTTTGGAGACCTGGATGGATTGTCCGTGCTGCTGATCGGAGCCGGTGAGGTGGCGGAGTCTGCCGCCCAGCATCTGCATGCAGCGGGAGCGTCGCAGCTTTATGTGGCGAACCGAACGTACGAGAAGGCTTGTGAGCTGGCGCAGCGATTGGAAGCTACAGCTGTGGAATTCGACCGGCTGCTCGAAATGCTGCAGAGCGTTAACATCCTGATTTCCTCGACAAGTTCACGGGATTACATCCTGACGAAACAGACTGCAGAAGGTGTGATCGCCTCCCGCCGAAACAGGCCCATCTTCTTGGTGGATATTGCCGTCCCACGGGACATTGATCCCCAGATCAACGAAGTCGACAACATGTTGGTTTACGACATTGACGACCTGCAGCAGGTAGCGGCAGCCAACCAGAAGCAGCGGAGTCGGGAAGCCGTACCGCGGAAACGCCATATTGACGAGAGAAAACACGAGACACCAGAGAAGGTTTGTTGTGCGAGGGGGTTGCGAACTGATGATGTGGCCCCGACGATTGTTTCAATCGCATCAACAAGAGGCTGGAGGAGATCCGTCAAAGTGAGCTCCAGCGTTATGGTCCAAAACTGGATGGTTTGTCACCAGACCAGCAGGAAACAGTTGATCCTTGACCCGAGGTATCACCAACAAGCTGGCACATCACTGGATCAGACATGTCAGACAGAGTGCTGCAGATCCAAGGGCGGCTACGAAGATTGAGGATGTGCAACGCATCTTCGATCTGATGAAGAAGGAATGAGTTCCCGGAAACTGACGATCGGCACGCGCGGCTCGAAACTGGCGTTCTGGCAAGCGGACTGGATTGCAGGACAGCTTGAGCAGCAGGGCTGCGAGACAAGGATCAGTGTGATCCGGACAACTGGTGACAGGCTGACACAGGAGTCGCTCCGGCAACTGGGGGCGCAGGAAGGGATCAAGGGCGTTTTTACAAAGGAGATTGAGGATGCATTACTCGCCGGGAGCATAGACCTGGCGGTGCACAGCCTGAAGGACCTTCCTGTCAGACTGGCCCCTGGACTGGCACTGGGTTGCATCCCGCAGCGGGCAGACGCCCGCGATGCCCTGCTGGGGAAAAAGCTGGGGCAACTCAAGGCTGGTGATTGTGTTGGCACCAGTTCACAGCGCCGGGCAATCCAGCTCAGGAGTCTCTTGCCCGGAGTTGTTGTCCAGGACTTGCGTGGCAATATCGATACAAGAATCCGCAAGCTGCACAAGGGGTTATTCGATGCGATTGTCCTGGCGGCTGCAGGCTTGCAACGTTTACAACTGGAGCATGAGATTTCTGAAATCCTGGAGCCTGAAGTGATGGTGCCTGCGATCGGCCAGGGGCACTGGTGTGTTAGTAACCCGGGCTGGTGTAGACGAGTCAGGCCATACCTGGATCAGCTACATGACTCAAGGACTGCCGCTGAGGTTGGAGCTGAGCGAGCCCTGCTCCGCGCACTGGGTGGCGGCTGCCAGGTGCCGCTAGGGGGCCATGCAACCATGACCTGTGACAAACTGACGCTGGTTTCCGTGACGGTGTCAGGCAGTGGTGCCATTCTCAGGTCACAGGCTACGGGTGCATTGTCTGAAGCCGAGAAGCTTGGCGAGAGCGTTGCAGCAGACTTGGGCAGCTAGGGTATGGAATCGGCTGGCAGGGAATTGCCTGAGGATGGTCACTGCCCGGTGGGTGGGTTGGTGGGGCGGTTGTGTGTTATGGTGTGGGTGGTATATGGTTTGCTGCTTACCAGTTCGTGACTGATCCGTCCGGCCGCGACAGGAGCCGGATCGGGCGGGCATGCTCGGTAATTTCCAAAGTGAGTTCTGCCTGGTTCGGATCAAATTCCACTCCCAGTCCGATCCGGGTATGGTTGGCCATTAATTGCCTTCACTGAGTCCGTAGCTGACTGGCAGGTGCGGGTGGGATTTGGCTCCGGCACCAGTCATCTCCATGATTAAGGGGCCGGACAGTGCTGTGCTGCAGTGCACCAGGGCCGCTTCAGAGACTGGACCTGTAAAGTGCGGGATCAGTCCGATGTAGTGGGTCTCGCACAGGGCAGCCAGCTTCATAAACTCTGTGATGCCGCCACAGTTCGGTATGGAGACACGGGAATAGTCGATCAGGTGGTTCTCGATCAGGACGTTGGCGTCCCAGCGATCCCCAAAGTGCTCTCCGACCGCGATGGGAACTTTCACAAGGGGGCGCAAGGTGCGGTAGACTTCCGGATTTTCAGAGCGCACGAGATCCTCGCAAAAGATCGGGCGCAGAGGTTCGAGCAGGGTTGAGAGCCGCACTGCATCCGGCAGGTCAAAGCGGGTGTGGTAGTCGATAGCCCAGTCGCCAGCGTCGCCAACGCCTTCGCGGATGTCCTGGCACAGTTGGAAAGTCTGATCAACTGCTTGTCGATGGTGGTAGGGCCCGTCTGCACTGCTTCCTGCACCGCCAGTGCGGAATGCCCGGAAACCAGCCTCGATACAGGCCTGGCGGTCTCCTGCAGAGATCCCTGATCCGGGAAGCCGGTTGAGTAGCACTCCACATGGTTGCGGGTCTTGCCGCCGAGCAGCTGCCATACGGGCACGCCCAACGCTTTGCCCTTGGATGTCCCACAAGGCCAGGTCCAGGGCCCCCAGGGCATGGATCTTCTCGCGACAGGAGGGTGTAGGAACAGAATAGAAATAGGGTAAGCAAAAACTGGGTACATGAAACCTGCCAGAGGTTGTGCTCGATGCTGCTGAGGGTTCACTCCACACGAGCATGGACACCCAATGTCGATAGTGTCGGGAGAGCCCCCTTCTCCAATGCCCGTGATACCGGCATCAGTTTCGATGGTCACAATATGACCGCTCTGGTTGAAGATGGGACGTGAGTCTGCGACACGATAGAAACGCACGCGATTGATCTTCGCTGCAGACAATGCTGCCCCGGCATCAGGAGACACAACTGTTGTGGCGCCTAATCCGAGCAGTGAGGAACGCAGTAGTGCACGTCTATGCATCTTGCTGGTAATTATAGGAGATCACCAATAGACCTGGTACAAGGTGTAATGCCGCGTCGCAGCGGAATCGGGAATGTATTGGCAATGGCAGGGAAGCCGTCTCAAGCTGCCTGGGAATGGGGTTGCTTAAAGAATTCATCGACTGCAACAATCACATCGTCAGCAGTACATGAGCGAGGCACACACCTTTGCGCAGTTCCGCGCCATGTGCATGCCCGGTGACGTCAAGGTCGCAAACTGACTCAGCTAGCCGAACCGCCGTTCCTGAAATCTTGTCGGATTCAGACAACAGCAACTGGTAGTAGTCCCTGAGCATCTCGTAGCGTTGCTGTTGGGTGGGTTGCTCGTACTTGCCACTGGCAATGTACTGCCGAATCTGGGAAAAGATCCATGGATTGGTTGAGGCGGCGCGACCAATCATGACTCCGTCGCAACCGGTGTGAGTGAACATCCTGACGCAGTCTTCCGGCGAGAACACATCACCATTGCCAATGACCGGTATGTTCACGGACTGTTTCAGGTCTGCAATCAGGTCCCAGTTTGCGGCACCCGAGTAGCCCTGCTGCCTGGTTCGGCCATGGAGGGAGACTCCCTGCAGTCCACAGTCCTCGGCAAGCTGACCCATTTGCCGAACAATGATGGATTTGTCATCCCAACCAGTGCGGAACTTGCAGGTGAAGGGGATGGACACGGCCTTGCGGATTGCCGGCAGGATGCGTTTGACCACTGGCAGGTGCGCAGCCAGGCCCAGCAACAACCCACACCCACCCCAACATGACGTGGCACGTGAACGGACCTTCGTGTGGCCGGACAGCCGAAATTCATGTCCACGCCATCGAATCCAAGATCCTGGACCAGGAGGGCTGCTTCAGCCAGCACAGCCGGGTCGGAGCCAAAAAGCTGGGCAATGATGTGTCATCGTGGTTCTAGTGCAGAGTAATTGACTCTGCCGCGGCCGGTCGTATCGAACGGACCGCGTGTGGCTGGCCACCATACGTGTGAAGAAGCGAGACTCGTCCGTCATGAGCACCCGCAGCGCGCCATGACCGACCACGAGTGATCCGTCGGCACACCGTCTCGTGACCACCGGCATGCGGAGTCCAGCAGCACAGCGGGCTCAATCCGCATGGTTCCAATCTGAAGCTGTTGGGGAACGTTCACTAGATGTATTTTAGCGTCATGAGCCTGGCAGAGGCGTGGTGCACATATCAGTGAGAGTCAGGCAAGTGGCACAAGCCCAGCTATTCAGAGGTTTGACAACTCCTCAAGGCTGCGAGGCCAGTCCGAGCGGAGCAAGCGGGACAGGGAACGGTCTGCCAGCAAGCGGCCGGCAGTCTGGCATGTTGCACAGTAATTGGTTTCATTGGATGCATAGCGGATACGCTGCACGGGTGAACCACAGTCCGGGCAAGGTTGCCGGAAGCGGCCATGCACGGCCATGCCGTCCTGGAAGGCAGTGACTTTCTCCGGAAAGCGTCCCTTGTGTCTCTCACGCAATCGCTGCAGCCAGTGATTGAGTGTGTTTTGGGTGGCATCGTAGAGTTGCTTGACTTGCTCGGGGGGCAGTTTCTGAGTGAAGGCAAGCGGGGAAAGCCGAGCGCGATGCAGGATCTCGTCGGAATAGGCATTTCCAATACCGCTGAAAACAGAAGGATCGGTCAGAACCCGCTTGAGTGTGCGGTTTTGTCGTGTCAGTGCGGTTGTGAACTCGGCAAGTGTGGCTTTCAGGATTTCAAGGACGCCACGATGGAGTGTGTCCAGAGCAGCTGTACCCTGAACGACATGCAAAGAAGCCCGCTTTTTTGAGCCGGATTCTGTGAGCAGCAGAGAGCCATGGGGAAAGTCAAAGGCAGCAATACCGCGTTTGCCCGGGATCTTCACATTTGTCTCCCGCCAATGCAGACGACCTGCAATCATCAGGTGGATCACAAGCCAGCAATCGTTTTCTAGTCCGATAGCGATCCGTTTTCCAAGGCGACGGATATCCACAACACACTTTCCGCAGCATGCAGCGGGTGAAGCTCGACCCACACCCAATCGACAATTGCGTTAGCGAGAAAAAACAATCATGGACTGCTGATGCGCACGTTTTCGAGGAGTTGATTGCTGAGAAGCGAATCAAGCGATTCGATGTAGACGACGATGTCAGGCAGTTCAGGCATTGATCAGGGCTGTTTCACGACAACAACCCGGTTGCTTTTGCCGCGTTGCTTGAAAGGCATCCCGAAATTGTAGATGAACAAGCAAGAGTAGGTCATGAAGTCGATATTTTGAAGCTTTGTATTGACCGTTCCGGTAGAGCAGTTCTCACTCTGGAGAAGTGAATAGGTGCAGTTGGGGCCGCGCAGGCAGCCAAGGGAGCGGTTCGCGTGGGTGGAGGAGAGGATCTCTCTATCCCTGCAGGCAATATCCTGTTACCAGTTGATTCTCCGACGGCGTGGCGCTCGCGGGCCGTGCGGCCGACTCGCAAACACCCGCCAGTGTGCTGTCGAAGGCGCGAATGCCAGGCACTTGCTCAGGCTAGCGGCTGTCTGCAAGTGGCATCCTCGTCATGTAGCGTTAGTGTCCCTGCCGCTGAGTGCCTGTGTGCACGCACCACAGACAAAAAAGGGCCGGGAATGATGTGCATTGCCAGGTACGTGAGCCTCCTCAGACTTCGGACGGCAGACCCCGATATACGTCTCGGGCTTGAGTTGTCTTCATGTCTCACGAGTTATCGTACGGCTACATCACTCACAGGGAGTGCCGTGGGGCGACGTTTCCAATGCCAGTTGGACATTGGTTGCTAGGACTGAGAATTGGGCACAGGCTGAGGGCGATAAAAAAATCACAGCGAGGATATTGTTCTGGCAGGGCGCGGAGGATAGCTTCGCTGGCGTCTGCTCGTCTGTGTCTTGTGTTTGCAATGTGCGAGTTGTGCGCTTATATCTTCATTTTAGTCTTCGCGTAAGTCTTAGGACCCAATATCCTCCTATTCATTGCACGATTTTCTTTTTGTGTTCGCGCTGGTTGTTTTGGTTGCAAGTTGTGTACCATTTGGTGCTAGTCGAGGTCGTACGTAGCGGGGTCAAGTCTTGAGTTGTCCTGTTCCGTCGGTGTTGTTCGTGGGTTCTTATTCAGCTCCTGTACGCTTTTTTGTTTCGAATTGCGTGTTCCGGATTGTGGTTATTCTGGCCGTCGCTACGTGCTTTGTGTTTTCCGGTCTAATGCTAGTGATTCAGCGGTTTTGTTCAGTTGTGGCAAATACATCATTTACGCTGGAATCGAGTTCTTTTTACTATTCCTGGACGACTTTTGTGCGGAGCTGACGGATCGTCGATTCTCAATTTGTCGGTCGCTCTCGCGGTAGCGTGTATTTGATGTTGTGTTGTGCGTTTGGGGTTCTTTGTTTGATGTGGCGATTTTTCCATATTGTTCTGCTGGAACTG